GTGCAATTTGCAATTTCACCCCACTTCCTCAACATGTCATCCACAGTGTAACCTGTGAATAGTGCTAAAGATTTCAGCCACTGTACCGCCCTAATATGTATGATAGCCCTCAGATCTGCTGCTCCTCTTTGAGCTTCTGAGAATATCCTGGAGTTTCTTTCCTCCCAAAGTGTCCAACATACTGTAGCCCTTAGTCCTCTCCACATTGTCCTTCCCCTTTTTATCCGTCACCTGGAAAAAGAAGGGGAAAAAAGGCCCTGCAAGTCTGATGGCGGATTCCAGCTACATCCAAATAGGGAGAAAGCCCAATCCCAAATTGACCTTGCAAAATGGCAAGACACCAGTAGGTGAAAACCAGTCTCTCCATCCGCTTTACAAAGAACACACCACTGAGGTGACAAGCAAGTATTGGGTCTCTTCTTTTGGAGTAGATCACCAGTGTTGATTCTTTCCAGATAGGCTTCCCAACAAAAACTACCAACCCTAGGAGGTATTTCTCTGCACCAAACCTCACCAACAGGGAAAGGGGGGAAGGTAAGACTGGTGGACTGACTTAAGACTTTGAAGACCGAAGCACAAGAAAAGATGCCATTGGGGGTAGGTGTCCAAATTCTAGAATCTGCCCTAGTGGGGTCTAAGACAACGTTATCAAGAAGTGCAATAAGGCTCGAAATAYTGTTGAAGTYTGAGTCCCTCAAATCCCTTYTTAGACCCAAGTTCCACCCAATCCTAGAAGTGGAAGAGGACGGGGTGGTGAAAGACGAGATTGGCTCATTTTTCAATTCAGAAAGAGCATACAAAGAAGGAAACTGATCCTTTAGAGGGGCACTCCCCACCCAAGTTTGTTCCCAAAATTTTATGGAGTTACCGGAATTCAATTCATACCTGATATTAGGGGAGAAGACTGGTAGCAGGTCATGAATGGCTTTCTAAGGAGAATTGCTTGTGGTCCTAGCTCTGATTCCAGCGTCCCATCCATTGTGCTCCAGTCCATGTATACTTGCCACTATCCTAGACCATAGCTTCTCCTTCTCCATAGGGAACTTCCACAACCACTTTCCCAACAGAGTCATATTCCTTTTCCTAATACTCCCAAGCCCCAAACCACTACAATTCTTACTCCTACACACTATCTCCCAGCTAACTCTATGATCCCTCTTCTCCTCTCCCGGCTCCCAGCCCCAACCACTTTCCCACAAGTCTTCACATCTATGTTAGTCTTGGTCTAACCTGAATGGACATGATTCCTACCTCTTTATATTTATTTTAGCCTATTAATCTAGGGAAAATGTTGCTCCTTGGTCAAGTTGTATTCTAGTTGTTTTTTTTCCAAACTTCTTTCTTATTTTCTATTTTTTTTTCATGTAAATTGAAAATACGAGATTTAGTGGTCTTTTTTTTTTGTTAAAGTGGAGGTATATTTTGCTTACAGAAACCACGAGTTTGCATACTAGGAGGAGGATTTGGAGGCTTATATACAGCTTTAAGATTAGAATCTCTTGTGTGGCCTAATGATAAGAAACCTCAGGTAAGCTTTGAATCAGTGCCATTAATTTGAGTTTTTAAATTTCAACATGGCTGATTCTTTTTTCTGCCATGAAATAAGTACTAATCCATTATACACTGATAAACTATTGTAAAACTTTTCTTTCAATGTTGTTATAATATATATTTTTTTTCCAGTCTTTGCAGTGCCTTTGCAAAGTATCAATTCTCAAGTTTGAAAATTGAACAAATAACAAACCATATAATATTATAGGCTATATTACCTGGATACAGCAAGTACACATTTGGGTATGGTATTGGATACGATGTTTACACTAAAAATTGAAGTATCTGATGTGATACAGCACCATTGGTCTGGTGTCTGAGTATCATAGATTACAGATGAACCATGTAAACTCATAGAACAATCACACCATGATTCCAAATCTTCAACTGCTATGTTCTAATGCTGAAAGTTTTAAGTAGTGCTGGTGAATCAATCTTGTCCACTAGATACTTTGTAGTGGATTTTGTACTATGTTAGATTGATAAACCATACTCAGTTTACTATTCTTTGAAGTAGTGCCTCACTGAGTTCTATAAATCTCTATCAGAGTGCCTCTGACTTAATAGTTCCAGAAAAGTCGGGGCTATTTTAAATATGGTTCTAAATCTTCAATTGCTGTGTCATGAGTATAAAGATTTTGAACAATGCTGGTCAGAAAAATTTGTCCACTGGATATTTTATAGTGGGTTTTACTATCTCAAATTTACAAACCACACTTGGTTTATTATAGCTTTAGATTTTGGAGGATCTAGATTACAAACCAGATCTTATAAAAGTGAATGGTAATATTTTGAGAGAATATTGTGATACAAAGTTCATCAAGATTGGATATTTGATACCAGTCAAGTTATATTTAATTGACTATAATTTTTTTATATGTGAGTCAAAGCATATTTATTAACATATCAAATGAAAATACATGAATTGTACAAGCTCTTATGTATGGGAGGGAATCCAATCTGAATTACATGTAATCTCTAGTCTAATTGGCAGAGTATGGACTGTATTTAGGGAACTACAGTTTGAATTAAAACTAATTTGAACTATTGGATATTGTTAACTTGTTACTATGGGTACTGTTACATTAAGGGCCATCATCCAATGTTGTTCCCAGCTATTTGGGACCTTGGGAGGGGTAAACTGGATACAGACCTAGCCTTTGTTGTTGTTGTTGTCGCCTTTTTTTGGGCACAAAGTGGCTGCTCTCAGACTCAAATTTGGGTCCTTACACTTGTCGCCCAAGGTTTTACCATTACACCAAACAATGGTCCCATAGGTACTGATACATGAAGATATGATAAATGGCTCTTTTCTTTCTATTTGTGTATTGGGTATGCTTTGTTGGTCTACCAGATTGATTCCTATATATATTTATCAGAAAAACAAAAAGATTGATTCCTAGATATATTGACAGCTCTATCTGGTTGATGGAACTGATTTTGTTTTCTTCTATTATATCTCTCAGCAAAGCATTATTGGCTAATTGCCTTTTAAGATTCAGAAAGGAAAGAGAGTCTCTTTGAAGAAGGGCGGTGGTTGGTAAGTACAGAGTAACAAGTTTGAACAGGGTACAAGAGAATTTGGTTCATATGGTGTTTCTCTATGAAAAGGGATTATGGCGTTTTATTCTGAATTCTCAAGATCTAGGATAGCTTGTGGTGGGGAATGGTAGTAGAGTGGGGTTTTGGGAAGATGAATGGTGTGGAGAAAGAAGATTTTGCTAGATTTGTCCAATATTATATAGGGTGAGTTCTACAAAACATTATAGTCAGATGATGCTTTGAAAAGAGGTAAGCAGATTGTGTGGTGTTCAACATTTAGATGCCCATTATTAGTTAGGAAATTGTAAGAATGTAAATTGTTGTTTGCTGAATTGGAAAATATGAAGGTTGATTGCAACAAGGCAGATGCAAGATGGTGGAAATAATGTTTTGATGCGAAGCTCACAACCAAAATTTTCTATGATGCTTTAATCAGGAATCATCTGGATATATCTGATGTGAAGGAGGGAATGGGGGAATCCCTCCTAGGGTAGGTGGGAAGTGTTTGCATGGCTATTATCTTTGGATGGTCTCCTTTCTTTAGATCACCTAAAATGAAGGGGTTTTCAGTTGCCTAACATGTGTGTTATGTGCAAAGAGCCAGAAGATGTGTGTCATTTATTCATTCATGGACTGATCTCTATGCATTCTGAATTTAGAGAAGTGAATTGGCAAGATTTGGGATTCAACTTGTGGTTGATTTTGGGTCTTGCAATGGAATGTTTCTGGGGTTTTGTTGTATCCATTGATTGTTTGATTCTCTTCTTGTTTGGTGAAAGCTCTTCACCTGATCCTCTCTATTTTCTTTTTCTTATAATGAATTCATGCTTATTATAAAAAAATGTTAAATTTATGGAGATTTGCCTTCAATTTTTGCATGTCATACAAGAAATGGCTAATTTGGTCAGAATAATGGATCCTGGAGTTGGGATATTGTGAAGTAAATAATATGCTTAGAGAAAAAAAGAGAAAGAAAATATTTTTATTGCAGGTTAGTCTCCCTTCACCAATTAAAGGTATTTAAGTAACATGAACTTTTTCATAATTTTCTACCTATTGGCCATGGTCACTCCACATGAACAGAACTAATTGCACCTTTGTAAGGATTGAGACTGGCTGAATGCCTTGATTACATGAATTTAGCTGCGGAAGGGCTCTCATGTTATTGTACACCTGTTCAAAGATAACGAGTATGGGCTCTTGAAATATGGATATGCCATGAGGGAGATGAAACAATTTACCATAAGTCTATAACATTGAGGACAACCTGCTGAGATCAGCCAAGAGCATGGTTGATGCCATTGCAAGACAAGGAACAAGCAGGAATCAGCTGTTTTGACGTTTGATTGCCCAAGGAGGGAGCTTATAAATAGTAGTGCTAATGGATGTATAGCAGATGCTAGCTTAAACCTGTGGTGTTTTTGACACACTAAAGTTGCATATCATTCTTTGACATAATTCTCAATAAAAGTTTTGAGTGTTACTAGTAGGAACTGCCTACCATGGTAGCCTCTTCAAGGATGTCTCACCTCCTGAGAGGAGAGAAAATAGAGGAAGAAGAAAGGTTTCTATTCATCACTTTATTACAGAATCAGGAGCCTTTTTATATTGGATCAGGTGGCTCATCATGAGAATCAGATATTCCCATGTGTAGATGTAACTAACTCTGGGATCGGATCTGCTGTTGGGGCTACTGGTCCCCTCTGTTTTCTAATGAGCTGCTGGGCGATGGGTGGCTTTGAACCTGGACTGTTGTGGGCTCTTGGGCCTGGGCCTGAAGTGGTCGCAACAACTCCCCCCCCTTAAGATTGACCTTGCCCTCAAGGTCCAAGTTAGGGAACCTGTCTTGTAGCTGCAGGTACAGCTCCCATGTAGCATCTTCTAGTGACAGACTGACCCATTCAACCTTTGCTTCTGGGATCACTTGATGTCCTTGGCGTACCCACCTGAAATCAACAATGCGGGTGGGCTCAGTTTCCATATCCCCTTCTTTTGTGAAACTGGGAAGGGTGGCGACAACATTGGTGAGGGGCCTAAGGCCTTCTTGAGGAGGGAAACATGGAACATTGGGTGTAGCTTGGTGGTGGCAGGGAGCTTGAGGCGATAGGCTATAGACCCAACCCTCTCCAGTATCGAGAAGGGACCATAAAATCTGGGAGCAAGTTTATGCCAACTTGACGGGCCACTGAGACTTGCTATAGGGCTGCAGCTTTAGATAGACAAACTCGCCTATCTGAAACTCTACATGTCGGTGATGAGTGTTAGACAATTATGCCCTTAGCTCCAATCAGATTGATGTATTTTTTGACATTTATTGTAAATGAATAAAGTACATAATTGATTCATGTCATTGTGGTATGTTTCTGTGTAATACCCTTAAATTGGACACTTATGAGACTCGTGTTAGTTTAGAATTTTTATAGCCGTTGGATAGATCCGGGGAGATTTATCCTGCCAAGGCTGACACTGATGTGCCACCAAGTTGGTTGGGGTGGCTTGTCTCAGCTGCCAGGGTGATACCTGAGTGCATGCAGTGTGGGTTTTCTTGAAACCCTGAACCGGACCGAAATTCCAGTATTGCCCTGGACCTTAGAGATATATGGGCAAAATTGGAATGTTACACCTGACCCCTAGACTCGATTATGGTATTGCACTAGGTGTTGGATTGGGTTGTCTTTGATATGCCAATCAATGAGATCCTTAGAGGGAGTCAAAACCTGGGTATGTTAGGACAATCCGAGAATTCATCTGAGTGGGTGATCATAGTGACAGGATCAGCTCCTTGTCAGACAAAGTGAATGATCGGGGATGCACTCTCTTTGATAGAAACCTAAACTGTCGGCAATTGATTTCAAACGTTGAAATTTGTTTTGCAAAATATATTTATATAGCGATATAAATATATATATATATACATATATTTATATATTATGGTTTCAAAATGTTTGCAAAAGGTTTTAATTCCCGAGATCCATGTGAGCAGAGAGTGTAGCACTGTTCCTTGCAGCCGAGGGAGAGGTCCTCTTTTGTCGGGCAGTATTTGATCATTATGGCTGAGAGGTTAAGTGTAAGACCATTGAGGGTAATACCTGATGGGCTAATCTTGCATTTGCCCATAGTCCTTGGGTTTTCATAAGGTGGCTGGACCCAATGACCAATTAGTGTAAATGTTAGGCCCATTAAGAGCCCATGGTGATGGACTCAGGGGTTCATTGTCTCCTACAGTGAATTCGGCCAGGCCTTGTAACAAAGGCTAGGCTGAACCCATGTGGCTGATGTGTAGATTGATGCAAGGGTCCCACGCCATACAAAGAGAGCCAACTGGGCAGCAGGTTAAAGGCGTAAGTGAGCACATAGGCTTAATGGGCCTAAAGCCCAATTCGAACTGGGCTTAAGTCAGTTAATTAAAAGGGGCTAGATTTGATTAGGATTAGT